CCCGTAGGCTGCACGCAGTAAGGTCCCCTCTCCCCCCAGCATCAGGGATCACAGCGGGTGTGGGCTTCAGCAGGGCCAGATGCTCACCTGAGCATCCAGAGCAGGCACCCCTCTATCACAGCCCCCCACCAGGCTAATCTCCCACCTGCCACAGCACAGCACAGGCCAATGCTGCCAGAGCTCAGGGAGGCCCACAGTCCACATGCTGAGTTTGGGCCTAGAATGCCATGGGCCTCTCTCCCTGTGGCTTCTGTCAAGACTGGCTACTGAAGCGGGCCTCAGCAAAGCTGGTCATACCCCACCGCTTGCACCAGGCTGCAGGGATCCAGATTAAATGTAGAGGACAAACTGACCAGAATAAAACTGAACCTGCTGTTCCCTCTTGTGGTGGCTCCTGGCAGAATGAAGAGCACACAGTGACCTCGGCGGGTCAGAGAGTCACTCAGCTGAGAGCAGGCCTGGCAGAAACTGTGGCCACAGGAGATGCTCCCAGGGGCCTCCTGTCTCCAGGCAGATGCTGCAGGTCACTTCTTCCAGGGGGGGACCGTAGTGACCCCAAGGCCATGACGGTCCTTCAAGGTGGGTGAGGAAGATGAACAAGCGAGGGCAGAGGAGACGCTCAGGGAGGAGGTGACCACACCTGCCCTGGTCAGACCACAGGAGCCTCCTCCCTGCCCAGCACACTCTCACCCTCTCCAGTCTCTGCTCCCCACGGCACCCCAGGCCTTTCTCAACATGGACCCTCACCTGCCTTCTCTGCTCGCCACACCAGGCAGGGAGGGTTCACAGGGCCTATCATCACCTCCACTTTCTCCTCCACCCCACCTGCCTCCAGCACCAGAGCAACATCAAGAGGAATTTTTTTTAACTTGACTTGTCAATAGAGGGGCGCCTGGGCAGGTAGTGGGCACCCATCACTAAGAGGACCCAACCCTCACTCTGGATGTTTCCAGTGGATGTGACCACACTGAGGCCTCAGCCCCCTCAGCTTGGAGACCCTTCCTCACTGCAGCTGCCACAGCAGGGGGCCTGTGTGGTCAGAACCCTGGGTCGCCCAATGTGTGGCCTGGGCTGCACTTCCGAGTCTCACTCCCCACAGTCATGAGTTACGCTGGGATCATGGTATCTGACAACTTCCAGGGTGCCTTGGGTTAAACTGAATAATTCATGCAAATGTTTCTCTTATTTTCATTGTTGACTTTTTTCCCCTTTTTTTCTTTTGGTTGCATTATGAAAACTCAATTCAACACTTTCTCCTTCTCCCAGGTGTTTTTCTAATTGCACAGCCTTGTTACAGCAACCCAAATAAAATAACTTTTATAGTAAAAAAAAACTTCCCTCCAATCCCAGTAGCAAATATCATAATGGTGCTTACCTTTCCGTGCTCTCCTCCGGCGCGGCCATGCGGACAAGCAGATGCATCCTGAACACTAGTGGGGAGAGGCGTGGGGGAAGCAGCCTGGGTTGGACCTGACATCCTCGCCCTGCTGCACATGGAGGGTTACGCTGGGGAGACGGGAGAGCCCCAGAATGAGAAAGAAATGTCAGTTCGCTACTCTAACATTCCATCTTCCCCTAGGAGCTGAGGGAGACCTGGTGGGTCCTCTAAACTTGAGCAGCCTGTTCAGCTGCCATTTGTGTGACCTGCAGTTCTGCATTCCTGCACAAGGTCAGAGCTGCCCGGTCACTCAGTCATGGGAGCCAAGCCTTACAAGGTGCCTTTCAAATCTTTCAAGAGAGAAAGCTTGATCACCCTGGGAAGGCGATGCATCACGAGGTAGGACAAGGGAGCCCAGAAGCTGACTAGTGGACTGCCTTGTTGATAAGATTAGGCCCATGGTCCAGGGTCTGGGGTCTGGTTTCGATTCCAACACTTGATCATCAAGCAGATAAGAATTATCTGGTCAGCAGACTCCTGTCCTCCTGAAGCCCAAGATGACGTTCCTTATTTCACCCATCCTTTCCTCCTTGTCCTCCTATCCCACGTAACTGATGCTGTATGATTATTCTAGCAAAAAAAACCAGCCAGGATCTTCTTCTTCAGCAGCATCCTGCATCATGTAGCCTGCTCCACGACTCCCATTTCTTTATCAGTGAGGTGTTGCCTGACGCAACAGACTCTGCTCCATCTCTCCTCCCTTCCTGGACTGTGGACAAAGGCTCAGCTCAGGAACCAGGGTGACCTGGGCTAATCCTGCCCCAGGGCCAGGCCAGCAGGGCACACACTCCTCCCTCCCACTGTGTGGCTCCCTCCAGCTCTGGTCTAGAGAGAAAGTAGCTGAAGCTCATGGAACAACCTCATTTTGAGGCCCTTGGGTTTTCTATGGTGACTCCAAAGACAATGAAAGTAGGGGACTGGAGATGAACATTGGTGACTGGGGGAGGGAGCTGTCAGGGGTGAAATTACCACCACATCCTAGCAGGGGCCTGGAGCAGGGGTCCTGCCCAGCTCCTTACACTTCAAGCCAACCATGAGATATTTCTAAACCTCAGCCTCTTCTTCAGGTCCAATGCCTTTTCAGTCCTGCTCAGAAACTGCTTCTCCATGGAACCACATTTACTGAGGTGTTGTTCTGACACTCTACTCTGCATGAATTTGAATTCATTTATTCTGGGGCTTGATGTTAATTGTCATCCCATCATCTTGTGTTGTGTATCCTGTCATTCTTTTACACACACACACACACACACACACACATTCTCCCCTCTCCTTGGGAACCAGACCCTCACTCAGCACTGGGGTTACTCTGACCCTCTGTCTCTGGTCCCCTCAGAGCCGCCCTCTCTGCAGTGTCTCTACTCAGCGGTGTCTGAGCAGCCCCAGGAGTCCCTGCACCTCCTGCCTCTGACCCTGTGGGACACCAGCCCCTCACCGAGCATGATAGTGAGGCGGCTAAGGCAAAGTCCTGAGGTCAGTGATGGATGGAGGAGACAATTTGCTTTTTTCGTTTCTTTTTCCCCTCATTGTACTATTCAGTTGAGGTAACATTGCTTTACACACTGTATGTGTTCAGAGGCCCAGGGTCACCCCTCTTCAGATGTTTGTTACCACATCACGCCTACCATAAGGGGACCCACAGTCTTCACCATAGTCCACTGGGCCCTCTCCCTACCTTGTTTCCTGCTTTTACCCCCACCCCATAGCTTCAATTCCACAGTCATATTTCTAGAGTTTGTTTTGGTTTAGTTTCACCTGTGCCTGCTTTGTTTCTTTATATTCCATATATGAATGAAATCATCCAGTATTTAACTTTCTCCTTCAAACTTATTTCACTTAGCATAATCCCATCCATATCTATCCTTGTTGCAAAGTCAGTATTTTCTTTTTCATGGCCGAGTAGTATTCCATTGTATATATAGTTTGTGTTCTTTATCCCCTTATCTGCCATTGGGCACTTAGGTTGTCTCCATCGCTTGGTTATGTTACAGTGCTGCAGTGACCATAGAAAGCGCATATTCCTCGGAATTAGTGTTTTACCTTTTTTGGATAAATACCAAGGAATGGAATGCTTGACCATGGGACAGGTCTATTTTGAGTATTTTGAGGAACCTTCACTTGTTTTCCATAGGGGCAGGACCAATGTGCTATCCATAGAAAAGAGAGGTTCCAGGTTACCGCCCCACTCAAGGAAATGTGGGGCTGAGCAGGGATGAGAAGCTAAGGAAGAGGAGGAAGATGTGGAGTGAGATGAGGAAAGAAGACTGGAGGAGGCACATGGAGCAGAGAGACATGTGAAGAAGCAGTCAGGCTTGTTCCTCAGGCTTGGACCTGTGCCAAGGAATTGGGGACACAGAAAGAGACACGAGAAAGAGACAAAGACTTGGGTGAGAGGCCCATGGAGACGCTGACAATGGCAGCTGTTACCTTGATGTGGATTTTGATTTTGCTCTTTTCCTTCCAGACTTGCCTGGCTCCTCCTGCCCCTGTCCCATGGGTCTCTACCAGTACGTGCCTTAGCCTTGTGGCAGGCATTCGGGCCCCAGTGGGCCTGCTTTGGGCCAACCCTGTTTTGCTGGGCATTTACCCAAGAGGGGACGGGTAGCTTTGGGTGCTTCACTTGTGAACTATTCTAACCACGTACTTTCTCTTCTCTCTATTGCACACTAATTCTCTATTGCACACTAATTGTATTGAGGTTCTTTTCTATTGAAGGTCTTATGCTTAAGAGTATGTTTTGTCTTTGTTCAGCTGATGGCAGATCCCATGCAGAGTGTACAGGTTTGTGGGTCCTGGGAAATCCTCATTCTGCCCACTAACAGGACCAGACTTCATTCCCACCCACCATGTACCAGAGAGAGTTCCTTTACCTCCACACCCTTCAGTGGGTCATTCTCACAGGTGTAAGGTAGTAACTCATTGTGGTTTTAATTGGCATTTTCCTGACAGCACATGACAGTTATCCATGTACCTACTGGCCTTCTAAATGTCTTCTTTACAAAAGTAGTGATTTAGTTCCTCTGCCCTGTTTTTATTGAGTTGTTTTCTTGTTTTGCAGTTCTTTGTAGATCTTGGATAGTAAGTCCTTTTTGGATTGATGATGTGCAAATATTTTCTCCAACTTGATATTGTCTTTTCATTTTAATGAGTTTCCCTCACTATGTAGAAGCTTTTTAGTCTCATGTGATTCCATTGGTTTCTTTTTGCTTTTGCTTCCTTGGAGCACAGAAGACATTAGGGGCAGTGAAAATACTCTGCATGATATTCTCATGATGGACACAGGTCATTATACATTTGTCCAACATCCACAGAATGGACAACACCAGAGTGAGCCCTGAGAGAAACCATGACTGTGTGACTGTGATGTGTGGGTCCATCACTTGTAACCCACGTGCCAGTCTGATCTTCACACGTGATTTGGACATGATGTGTGAAGAGTTTTATAAATTGAGGAATGAAGTGCAATTTATTATTGAAAGCATATTTCATGCTCATGCAAGGACATTTAAATAACACTCAAGGATACGCACAAGTAAGTCATTTCCTTCCATTCCCCAAGATCCCAGTCAGCAGTATCTACTCAAAACCAATTAGCAATTTATCTTTTCTTTTCTAAAAAAATATATCCATGCTTCTGTCTGGACAATAATGCTTGTTTTCCCGACAGTAAAGGAGTTCAGTCACAGAGTGTGGGGAAACATTTGCATATCACAAAACTGATGAAGGACTGTATCAAGAATTTACAAATAATGCTTAAAACTCAATGATCAGCAAGAAATAACCCAATTTTAATAAGGACAAAAAAGTGTTATAAATATAGCAAAAAAAAAAAAAAATTGACTTCCGAGCCTCCCCTGGTGGCGCTGGTGGTTGAGCGCAGCACTGTGAAGCTGTCCGCAGCCTCTGCAGTGCAGGTTCTATCCCGGCCGGCGGGCGAGAATCCCACATGGCGCAGCAGACCTTTCCTGTCTCACCTGCTGCTCCCCTCAGCAGTGTATTTCATCAGTCTGCCTGTTCTGCTCCCCACTCTGTCTCTGGTGAATCTTATCACCTCCCATGCATCTGGCCTGTACCCCAGTATGCATGAATAAATCTTTTTATGTATTATATTTTATTTATTATTATTTATAGACATAGCAACTTATGTAGACATAGAAAAATAAAAATATGAACAAATGCTCAATATCACAGTTAAGAAGAACAGTGACACCATCACCCTGCTGTCCAGGGTGTGCACAACAGGAGCTTCATCAGGTTCATTATAAAAGATACTTAGGGGCTGAGAGACACATCAGAGCCCTGGGTACTGTCATTGCCTGGTTGAGAACAAAACAGAACCTGGTCAGAGATGAGAACACAGGAGGGACTGATGAGGGTGACTCCCCCATGGAGTCCATTTACACAGTCCCCAGGGGCTCAGGGATCAAACCCCTGATCCACACTTACCTGCAGCCTGAGTGTAGCTTCCTTCTTGTCCTCCTGTGGGGAGAAACATCATGTGAGACCAGGGAGCAGTCAGGTCAAAAGACCTAAAGGAATATTTTAATCCTGCACAACAGGGAAGTTTCCAGAATTGTGACTGAAGACCCAGGTCAGGACTGGGGAAAATGAAGACAAGAGGTGAGGGGGGACTGGACCAAATGCCCTCTGGGCAACACACGTGTGTGTGTGGGTGGTACTTCCCATTAACCAGGCAGGGCAAGTTCTTCCTGGGACGTGAAAGTCCCCAGTGACAAGATCCCCCACTCCCTTCCCTACCTGAGTGCTTCTTCTTCCAGATCACAGCTGCAGCCACCACAGCTCCAGGGAGCACAGCTCCAAGGAGAACCAGGCCAGCAATGATGCCCGCGGTGGGGATGGAGGACTGAGGAGGGGGCACTGGTAGGGAAGAGAAGATCATACCCTGAGCCCCAGACCTTATCCTGACTCTCTGAAGGGCTCCTGATGGCCCTGAGAATAGCCTCTGTGCCCACATCCTCCTCCTTACCCCATCTCAGGACTTGGGGCTCCAGCAGACCTTCATGCTGCACGTGGCACATGTATCTCTGCTCCTCTCCAGAAGGCACCACCACAGCCGCCCACTTCTGGAAGGTTCCGTCCCCCCCAGGCCTGGTCTCCACCAGCTCCATCTCCTGGGTCATGTCCTCCCCATCTCGCTGCCAGGTCAGGGTGATGTCCGCAGGGTAGAAGCCCAGGGCCCAGCACCTCAGGGAGACCTCATGCTCAGAGGTGGGGTGGTGGGTCACATGTGTCCTTGGGGGATCTGAGGTGGTAAATCAGAAAACTCACTTTGTGTTTCCTCCATGGACACTGAGGAATCCTCATGAGACCATCCTCACAATGGACAAGACAACTGGCGTGGCAGGAATGACAGGGGTGAAGGATGTCCTGAGCAAACTCCATACAGGCTTTGTGGACTCCACCCCCACGACACTGGGAACTACAAATCCATGATCACCAAAGGGAAGGTTGCGAGGACCCTAGGGTGGAGTTAAGCAACTGGGCTCTCCATTTGGGTATTTAACTGGTCATGTGGCAGGGAGTCTTTGGGTTGGCCACGAGGCGTGCTAGGATTTCGCCACCTCTGTGGGTCACTGGGATTCCAGGTCAGCGTACCGGGTAGGATGCATTTACGAACTTATCTCCCTCTTTTTCTCCCTGAGTTATTCATTTCCCATTTCCCCCTCCCATGTAAATAAACCTTTTATGAACCTTTTGCCTGTGTCTGCAGTTTAGCATTCCTAAGTCCCCTTTAAGCGCGCAGGTGAGGACCCACAGTTGTCCAGGAAATCCCATTTTATATCGGGGTTTGCCCTGTAGCAGCTAGAAGCATAAAATGTAAAAAACAGCTAATCTGGGGAATCTATGAGATTCTCTTATTCCTTAGAAAGTTCTAGAATGAGGATGAAAACCCAGGGTAGGATGAAGCAGAGGGAGTGGAACACAGACGTTTTATTCCTGACCTGGGTGGAAGGTGAATGACACAGAAAAGCAGGAATCACATAACTGAAAATGTTCTCAGACCACAAACAGGACTGAGAGAAATTAGTGATTCTCAAACAGGCCCCTGGTCAAAAGGACCCGGTGACATGTGGTGTCAGGGACTGTCTGTCTTTCTCAGGAGAGACGGGATCCCTTCCCTGTCCTTCAGGAGAAGCCGGAGTCTCTGGGAGTCTCTCTAGTGCAGAACATGAACCCCAGGGGAGTCCCCCTCTCGGGACTAGAGAGAGGACTAGTTTCCTGCAGTGACTCCAGGCAGGGGGGGACCGGGAGGCCTCCAGGCCCCTCTTACCCGTGCGCTGCAGAGTCTCCTTCCCATGCTCCAGGAATCTGCGCAGCCACATCAAGTACCAGCTCTCCAAATAGATCCTGAATGTCTCTGCCTCCCCCTGGGCCTCCCACTCGCGCTGGGTGATCTGAGCGGCCATGTTCGCCGCGGTCCAGGAGCGCAGGTCCCCGTTCAGGGCCAGGTAATCAGCGCCATCGTAGGCGAACTGTCTGTACGCGTGGAGGAGGTGCCCGTCGAGCCCCAAGTCGCAGCCAGACATCCTCTGGAAGGTGTGAGACCCTGTCCCAGCCCGAGTCACCCCGCGGTCACCCCGCCGGGAATAAACTAAACAGAATGAAATGGGGTGAAAGTCCCGCGGGCTGTTCCTGGGCAGGTTGCAGAGAAGCCTGGATGGGGAAACCCTGAGCGACCCCCGTCCGTGGGGATGAGGGTGCTGACCCTGCCCGGACCCGCGCCAGCTCACCGGTCTAGCTCTGGTTGTAGAGGCCGCGCAGGGCATCCAGCTGCGCTCGGTACCACAGTGTGCGCTCCCTTGCGAGCTGTGTCTCCCTGTCCCACTCCTCCTGCACCGCCTGCTCCGCCCAGGGCACCCGCAGCTCCACGCTCTGGCCCGGAGAGTCACTGTCGAACCTCCAGAACTGCGTGTCGTCCACGTAGCCCACGGCGATGAAGCGGGGCTCCCCGAGGCCGGGCCGGGACATAGCAGTGGAGAAAACCCTCACGGAGTGGGACCCTGGGGGCGGGAGGGGAGACCCGGGCTATTCTTCTCCCCTTCGGGGGTTCGAGTCCCAGGGGGGCGCCCAAGAGACAGAAAGTGGGTGAAAGACGAGCGAGAGTGAAAAGCGGCTGCGGGACGAAAATGGCCGGGACTCGGGGGGCCAGAGGAGGCTGGGGTCTCGGGGGACGGAAAGGGGCCAGGACGGGTGGGGCCGAGGTGGGGGGACAACTAGGCGGCGGCGAGGTCGCGCCTTTCCCACGCCCGCCCGCGCCCTCGCTCCCGCCTCTGGGAGCGCCCTGTCCCCTCCCGACCCGCACTCACCCGCCCGGGTCTCCCTCGGGGCCGCGGCCACCGCGAGCAGGAGCAGGAGGGCTGCGCCCCCCATCCTCCAGGATGCGCCCCCACCCGGGCTGGGGAGACGGAGTCCCGGCGGGCGGGTGAGGGCTTTGGAACGGGAGCCGCGGGGCTGCTGATTGGCTGCTCTGGAGACCTCCAGGCAATGGGGAGTGAGCCCTGGGGTGACTCACCAGTATCCAGGAAGGAGGACCCGATGCAGGTTGTGAGAAGTGAAACTGGGGAGATGGGGAGTCCCCAACAGTCACCTTCCAGCCCCAGTCAGCGCCCTGGGGACTGAGACCTTGAGAGCCACACCCCGAGACCCCTCCTCTCCTGCACCAAGACCTTTGTCACACTGTTGCCTCCCTGAATCCAGGCCCAGGAATTGGGTCAGCACTTCTCAAACATTTTTCTTTCAGGATGTCTCTACAGTCTCACAAATTATTACGGATCCCATGTATAATTTTTTTTTATGTGGGTTATAGCTTTAAATATTTAGTTTACTAGAATAAAACCTTTCAAAAAGATGTTGTTATGCCGGGAGCCATGCTGCTCCTGTCGTCTGACAAAGGTCCTGGCATGGGGCAGATTCCTGAAAAGTCAGGAATCTCTTTAGCTGACTCAGGCTAGATTCTCATTTGTTTATTTCTAGTTTCTACCATTGTTAAAATACACATTTAAAAGTAAAACTTCAAAGGCTGTTTGATCAATTACTGAATAACCAATTTGACAGCAAATGGCACTGCCTGATTCATTGATAACATTGGTTAGTGAGCATACAAATTCTTGACACAGGAAAAGGGGGAGGATGCAGATCTTTGAGACTGTTGCCCAGGAGAACAACCAGCCTAGCAGGCTGCCAGGCCTTGTTTAGACATGCCTGTTAAGGAAGCAAGCTTGTCTTTTACTGACATTTCCATGTCTATGGCTCTTTAACAGGGAAAGATTCCCTTTTCCTTAACAGTTCCCTTTCAGTGACAATGGGTATGGTAGCTGTTGGAGTATGCATTCAAGAATATGCCAACAACTGGTTAAGCTAATAACCTTGACAGCACAAATAATGTTAAGTTAATAACTGGTTAAGCTAATAACCTTGGCAGCACAAATAATGTACTTGGAAATAGTCAATGTTACCGCTACTGATATGTCACATATTAACCATTCTGAGAACCAAAAGCTATAACCATCTCTGGCCCTGCCTCTGATGAAATATTTGTAGTTCCTTAAAACAACAATCAGCAATCTTACAGAAAAAGGAATTTTCCCTTGATCTTAAAGTTAGATACGGAAACTAGGCTGACTAGATAAGTATAGGAGTAATAGGTAGAAAAACTCTTTTGTTAGATTAGGATAATTCCTCCCTGAATTGAGAGCTTGGGGCTAGGGAAGCATCAGTGCAGCTTGTCTGGCATTGACGTCCTCCAGGCCCTTGGTTCCTTAATATTGAATCAATATTTTATTAAAATAATATACTATTAGATGATGATTTCTATATAAAAGACTTCTGTTTTTTTCTTTAATCATATCACTACAGAGCAGCCCCGATATAAAACAGGTTGCCTAGCTGTGGGTCCTCACCCACGTGCTTCTAATGCTGCAGATATTTTTTCTTTTGGCTTGGATAATGGACTATTTTCTAGCAATGGAAAGCTGTCATACTGGACATTCATGGACAATGCTGCTGACTAATTGTTGCTTCTCTTACACACATTGTAACCCTGAAAAAAGACTGTCTCCTAAGATTGCACCCTGAGATCTGTGCCACCATAGATATGGTGGAATAAAAATTAAAAGGGGGGATTGTAACAGGGTGGTCCCCAAGAAAGGGCGAGGTTCCAGGTTCCCTGCCCCACCCAAATGGAGGGTGGAGCTGAGCAGAGAGAGAAGAAGCTGCAGAAGAGACTGAGGAAGGAAGGAAGCAGGATGGAGCCAGAAGGAGACCTGGAGGGGGCACATGGAGCGGAGAGACACATGAAGAAACTGCGCTTGCCTTTTGGTCGTGGACTGGGTGACACAGATGTGGGTGAGAGACCGGTGGGGTGGTGACAGTGGTGGTTTTTGTCTTATTTTTGATTTTGTTCTTTTCCCTTCAGACTTTTCTGGTTATTTCTGATCCTTTTCTGTGGGTCCCCACTGGAAGATGCTTAAGACTTGTGGCAGGCTTTGGGGCCTTGTTCTGGGCCAATCCTGCTTGGGTGGGCTTTTACCCACGAGGTGACGGGTAACTTTGGGTGCTTGATTTAGAAACTATATTGTTTGCCTTTTCTGTATTGTTTCCTAATTGTATTCAAGTTCCTTCCCATTAAAGTCTCATATGCTTTTGTTACAGGGCAGCCCTGATATAAAACAGGTTGCCTGACTGTGGGTCCTCACCTGCGCGCTTAAAAGGACTTATCAATGCTCTACTGCAGGCACACAGGAAAGGTTAATAAAAGGTTTATTTACAAGGAAGGACAAATGAGGACATGTACAACTCAGGGAGAAAAGTGGGAGACAAAGTTTTAAATGTGTCCTATCTAATCTGCTGATCTGGAATCCCAAATGGCACTCTGAGAGCTGGCCGCAAGCCAGGAGCCTTGAAGCCAGGAGGCGAAGGAGAGAGCGAGCCTCCCAAGGCCCACATGTCTGGTTTTTTATACCAACCCTGGCTGCTTAACTCCATCCTCAGATCCCAGCCACCTTCCCTTTGGTGGTGATGGGATTTGTCTTTCCCAATGTCCTGATGGCTTTGGTCTGGAGTGGGGGTGGAGTCCACAAAGCTTATATGGGATTAGCTCAGGACATCCTTTCCCCTAACATTTTGTGTTGATGCGGCAGATGGCAGAACCCATTTAGAACAGGCAAGTTTGTGGGGTCTGGGCTGCCCTTCTCCCTGCCCTGTAACAATATGGTTATATGTTACTCTAAACTTTATAGGTCAGTTAGAATAAAATCCCTCTGTCTCCCTTCCCCCAGGTAACTTCCTGTCCTTTGTCTCCCACCCTCCCCCCTCCTCCAGCCTTTAGTTAATCCTTAATGATGGTAAACATAGAAATGTTAGTATTGTAACAGGGTGGTCCCCAGGAAAGGGGGAGGTTCCAGGTTTCCTGCCCCACCCAAGGGAGGGTGGAGATGAGCAGGGTGAGAAGAAGCTGCAGAGGAGACTGAGGAAGGAAGGAAGCAGGATGGAGCCAGAAGGAGACCTGGAGGAGGCACATGGAGCAGAGAGACACGTGACGAAACTGTGCTTGTTTTTTGGCCATGGACTGGGTGACACAGATGTGGGTGAGACCCGTTGGGAGGTGACAATGGCAGCTTTTATCTTGATTTTGATTTGCTCGTTTCCTTCCAGGCTTGTCTGGTTGTTTCTGACCCTTTTTTGTGGGTCCCCACTGGAAGGTGCTTTAGACTTGTGGCAGGCTTTGGGGCCTTGCTCTGGGCCAATGCCATTGGATGGACTTTTACCCACGAGGGGGCGGGTAACTTTGGGTGCTTGATTTAGAAATTAGATTCTTTGCCTTTCCTGTATTGTTTCCAAATTGTATTAAAGTTCCTTCCCATTAAAGTCTCATATGTTTTGTGTTGATGCAGTGGATGGCAGAACCCATTTAGAATAGGCAGGTTTGCAGGGTTTGGGCTGCCCCTCTCCCTGCCCTGTAACAGTTTCAGTCACATAAGTTTTTGCTAGTAATAAAATGATTAAGATAAATGACTATTCTAAGAACACTTTTGTTTAGCAACTGTGCCTTCTTCAAAATAAAGAATGTTACAACCTCTGCTGAAGGGCAAATAAACCCCTGGCTGTTCTAGAGGAAGATGTGATGATTGTTATCTTCCTGCTCTAATGCATATGCTTATGTGCTCTCATGGCTTGCTTGTAAGATATAAATAAAGGGCTGCTGAGACCCTCAGCAGGATGATGTCTGCACCCTGATCAAGTGTTTGCATCTCCTCACTCCCTCTCCCCTAACCCCTCAGATTTGTCCATGCCCTCTCATCCTTACAGGAACCCCTCACAGGACAGTTTGCTGAGGCTGGTCACAGCATTATTACTTCTTTACTTTAGAATATTAATAACCAATGTATGCTAAGAAAGCATTTTTAAGAAAATAACTTTCTGTAAATGTAAGGGTAATCGTACAATTGTATGATTTTTTTTTTTTTAAAAAAGTTACCTATTGTTTCACTACTGAAAGGTCCATGCAGGAGGCCTGAATGCAAAAACCCACCAGGAAGCCCACCTGGGAACAGGAATGTGGAAGCCTGCCTAGAGGATTCAGACAATGAACCTCCCCCTGCCCTACAAATCTTTTCTCAGACAAAGAAACTCCCCCCCCAACAAATATTTTTGTGCCCTACAAACCCAGTCCCCTATCTGACCTCCTCACACTATGAAAGCCTGCTCCCCCCTGACAATGTGTGTGGCTTCACTGACCCCCACCTTGGATCCCTGAGGTCCACCTGTGGCGCGATAAATTTTTCCCTTCCTTTGAGAAATTAAGCCTTGCTCCCCTTTTCTTTACTGTGTCAATCTTTTCATCTGGTGCATTGGCTGGGAATGGGGTTCAATCCTGCGTGGGGACCCTGCCCCGTCATGAACCCTCCACTCTCCCTCTCCTTCACTCCCTCTTTCTACCTCTCCCCGTGGAACTGGAAGCCTGCAACCCCTCCGAGCTCACTAAGGCTTAACGGCCGCTGGTACACGACCCGGGGCACCCTCCCTGCGGGAGAACGGCCCTCGCTGCCTCTCATGCCACGTGAGCGGAGCAGGGACTTGCTCTAGTCCCTTACTCGGCTTCCCTGGTAACTCCAATCCATGTGGCCACTTACGCCTCAACAACTTCTTCTTCTCATCTCCCTTGGAGGGGCCATCCTCCTCTTCCTCCTGTTGGCCCACCTTCTCTTCCTAGGGCACTTTGCCAAATAATCTCGAAGAACAAAAAGACTTGGCCGGCCTGTGGACCACCAGCACCTGGCTCGTGACTCTCCCAGGGTGAGCTGTTGCCTCTAGGGTCCCTAGGATCACAGAGGTCTCTTCTTTTTATTCAGTGATCGCTACCCCCTCCTGATCCGAGCTTTCCATTTGGGGCTCCCTCTGAGGTGAGATGTTGCCTCAGGGGAACTGTTAGAGGGAAAGGAAGTCCTTAGCTAATCCCATACAGGCTTTGTGGACTCCACCCCCACTCCAGACCAAAGGGTGGAGTTAAGCAGCCAGAGTTGGTATAAAAAACCAGACACTTGGGCCTTGGGGTCTCTCCCTCTGTGGCTCACCTCCTGGCTTCACGGCTCCTGGCTTGCGGCCAGCTCTGAGTGCCATTTGGGATTCCAGATCAGCGGATCGGGTAGGACGCATTTAAAACTTTGAATCCCACTTTTCTCCCTGAGTTGTACATTTCCTCATTTCCCCTTCCTTGTGATGCCGGCGTGTGTAGCAACTGCTGCTGCTTTACCACGAGTTCTTGTCTCGCAAAACCGTAGAAAGGAATTCACAGACTTTTTGGAGTAAGTAAGCAGAGAGAGACAAATCTTGTCTTTGAAAGAAGAGTTTTATTTAGGAAGAAAAGAGACAAAGAAGAAAGACTCCCAGGTATAAGGTACCTGGGAGGGGCCGAGATGAGCCGGTACTGGATATTACTTTTGGAATATATACTTTCTCTCTCTCATTATGTTAAAATTTCAGTCTCTCTTCCTGATTGGCTAACTCCCAGAGGGTATTAAGTGGGGGAAGTTCACATTCCTTATCTAACAGTTTTTTTCTTTCCCCATTTGTTATGCTTATCGCTTTATCTTATCACCTGAAGAAAACCAGGATCATCCTTAACAATATTGTCCTGGTCCTAGGATGTTTGTTTTTCCCAGTGAAATTGGTTACTTTCCCTTGATTGTCCTTATCTCTGAAGCCTCCCTAAATTCTTCAGAGGTCCCCTCCTGCACTGTCCCT